GAGGATAAGTATGTTTCGTTTATAAGTAGGGTTTCGAGACTACCAATAAGTCACTTATTTGTGGTGTATTCACCATATTTCGTTTAAGGTAGTACAATTTTCCCATAATGACGTTTCCATTCGATTGCACATAGCCGTACTTTCCCAACAGTTGTTCTCATCCCAGCTGGAGTGAACTGCAGTTTCGACCTCGTAAAGGACTCATCAACAGCCCAAGCGGGAGTCGAACCATGACAGTTCAGCGTGAAAGGTCTACACGTTAACGTTACACAACAGAGCAGATGTGAATTTCAAGGCAGGCCAGACATTTTTCCCTATCACATTATTTGGGGGGATGGTCGATGAAGCAAAGTTATATTTGCTATGACAATCGACTACATTACTTATTTTTCGCTTATAAGTAGGCTTTCGAGACTACCAGTAAGTCAGTTATATGAGATATATTCACTCTAGTTCGTTTAAGATGATGAAGGTCTGGGAGGATATGTAAAATTCAGCATAATCGTCATTTATACTCATATTATTGTGGGGTCCTTCATCACCTAAACGAAATAGAGTGAATATATCCCATGTAGGATAGCATTGTTGTTGGCTCAATGGTCCCTGAAACCCTAAGCGATCGAAGGTGCAAACGTGCGCACCACTCCCCCCATTACCGTCGCAACGTCGACATCAGGTTTACTTGAAAACACATGCCCTCTATAGCTCCGTCAAAAGGTGTGTGTTTTGACTGGGTTAGAATAGGGCTCGCTGACGCAACGGCAACAGGACTCTGTGGTCTAGAATACACGGCTCGTCGCTCTATATTCAAAAGTGTCAGGCTCGAATCCCGCCGGGACTGCACTCCAGCTTAACTATGTCAGTAGACTTAGACACATTTTAAGTCTAACTGCCAGGAAGAGCCGTGTCGGAGATTGCCAACAATGCACAATTTTGCATACATGATACTATTCTGCTGAGAAGGGCTTATTTCGTTTGTCGAGATGGCAGACCAAACTGCCGTAAACTGCAAGACCTCCGAAGAAGCCTATGCCGACACATTCAGTCTGACTATTGGGGCCGGTTTTGCCAAACGAGTCTTCCCTCTTTAAGAGGGAAGAGAGGCACAAGAGTCTGGCATAAGAACGAATAAACAGAAGAATAAATGTAGAGGGAATACATGCATACGACAGCCAGTTTATTTATTTCTCCGAGCTACGAGCGCTCGAGCCAACGTTATTTGTGGCTGTGTCCCGGACACGCTGTGCACGTGCTTGTCCGTCTGCCGTAGCGCCGACAGCCGAGGCTGTGGTCGCCAGGCTAAACATGCCTTCTCTGGGCAACCTTGTGTTGGGTTCACGTTGTTGATCCATCCACGCGTCTTCAGGCCACTTGTACCACATTGGTTCCTACCCTCCGAATGCAATACACTCAAACCTCAGACGAGCTGTTTTCGCGACCTGTACCGACCAGTCATTTGGACTTTTGGCTCAAAGGCGTCGAAACAAAAAGGGTCAGTGGAAGTGGATTGTGCTCGGACAAGACACGAGTCCTGGAGACTGAAGGAGACTGTTTGGACAACCTGTTCCCCTCCGACGAGGTCGCCTGGACCCGACGGACTTCTCTAGCCCCGTCGTCAGTGGAAAAAGACCTTCCAGTTGACCGGCGTTCGGATGATCCGGCCTGTGCGCCTCGAGGGTTAGGCAGAATGAGTAGACCCACGCTTCAAGCGGGTCTCTCTTCAAGACTGTGTATGAATATGCCTGCCGGAGGGTATTATAACGTGATCGGCTTAGACAAAAAGGCAACAGCCAACGGCCAACTTGCGCCATGTGCAGCGTCAAAGCTATTGAGCCCTGAGACATAAAACCTGTGCAACGCTTTTTCTCACCGCCAGCGAACCCCGTGATTGGCGAAGGTAAAAATAACCGTTGCCAATTCACGAGAAAATAGTCGAGCCGAGAGTCCGAGAGAATGAGAGTACATATTCATTGGCATGTTTGCATGTCTGTGCGAATGTGTCTGTGTGCGCACGTGTGTAGGCATGGAAGCTGGACAGGAACGAATGAAAGGGCTTATTGCAGACGATTTCAATGAGACAGAAATCTATGTATTTCCATGCTCATGTCTGCAAAAGCACGTATACCTGTTCACAGTCACAAGCAAAAATTGATGCCACCCATCTCTGGAATAGATGAGTTCTTTTTAGGAGGCCAGAGAGACGGAGGACAGACGTGGCAGAGGTGCAACAACACACACACACACACACGCATGCACACACAATCACATAAACAGGAAGGCAATTCACCCATCGGCAGGATGTAAGACAGGAAACATCGGCTCGAAGTTTTCCGGATGCAGCCGAAAATATTATGAACCCTGCTTCCAGAAACAGGTTTCTGGCAGTGTTGAGATTTGGTGATAACTTGGGCTCGTTACAGTCTTCTCCTACACCAGTTCAGCACGTCTGCAACCCTTCTCAAACTCTTGCTCTTTCATCCTTTCTACTTGGTTTCGTGGTTCTGCGGACTTGCTCGAGTGAAGCTAAACAGGAAAGAGCCTAAGTTCGAGTTCGAATGCTCTTCTGCATAAGGCAACTTGCGCCACCAGCGTGTTGCTGGCGGCCTTGACGATGGGATCGAATTCAGAACTTTCGTAAAGAGGATGTCGTTGATGCTGATGAGAACGATCAGCATCGTATGCACTCTGATCTTGGAAGACGCTTACAAATGCACTACTTAAAGCCACATCGCAACGCAGTGTGTTATCCACTCGCTTTTGATTATTTATAGCGAATGCCTGATTTTTGCGCTGAATTTCACAGATTGAATGGCAAAACCGACTTTGTTAGTGTGCGACTTGGGAAGCAAACAAACTGTTCCATAAAGAGAGAACCTCTAGCCCTAAGAAAATGAAAGAAGAGTAACACCTTCAGGGCGAGGCAAAATGTTGTAAAAATACCCTTTTGATATCGATAGGCAATCGGGTGTTTAGATCGTAGATATGAAGACCAAGATCGTGTAGCCTTCTGTTTGGCCGCAATCTCGACTAGCTCGTGTTTCTTTGCCTTTATACTCAATAGATTACTGATGTATAGTTAGTAATATGCTATTTTGTAACAAACTATATGCTGCCATGGTGAAAATAACGTTAATTGTTTTCATTTAACCGTGAGAAGAGTCACCAACAGTCTTATAAAAGCGTGTGAAACTGATGAAAATGGAAAAAAATAGCGTTTGTGACAAAGGCAGGAAAATCTACTTTATCGAATAATGAGAACATGTTGAATATTAAATCAGGTCGCTTAGGGTAATGAAAAATATGATGGCCAATTTTCCTCTCTGCCTCCCAAAAGTCATGTATTTGTCCTGGTATTCAAGCCCACTATTATGTTGAGAATAAATAGGTATCTAATCTATCAGGGTATATTTTACATGAATTATGGTCACCTTGGTTGTTTCAAGTGAGGTGAGGACCGTTAGTTGATATGTTCACAATAAAAATGAGTAGAATACGTCTTTGTGTGATTTATTTTCTTGCCCTGTTGCCTCAAGAATGTTATTCTCATATGGGCTGAACTGCAGGTTCGAATTCGCCAAAGGCTCGTCAGGTTTATACACATTAAATGATGAAGTTAATCCACCCTTTTAATTTTTAAAAATGATAAACTAAACTATCCTGCCTTTCATCATATAGAGCAATCTATGATGATAATAATCTTTGTGAAAGCTCTATTAATAGCTGCAAACCCTACCCATTTTATATAGATCAAGTTGACTGCCAGGCGGATTCTTGAATTCTGGCCAAGTCACCAACATACATGTCAGAGAACCATTGAATCACATGTTTTGGGTTAGACGTATCCTGTGATTGAAATTGAGATCAGAAGATAAAAATCCCACTCCGATCTGGATGAGGATGCACTTTGTGGCTGCCGGATACGACGAGATTCATCATATGTGCTAAGATTGCAATTTGGGTTCTTCGTGAGTGTTCAGATAATGTCAAAATACCAAAATATCATATTCGCTTATAATTGCCACACGTGGGTAATGACGTTTGATACAGTCAAGC